CTGGCGCTCCAGATCTACGATGAGGCCAGGAAGGTAATAAACAACCGAACCAGAACACCGTCTCATTGGAACTTCCTGATTACTGTCAGATGAAATGCATTTAAACCTCGTTGTTGTTGTTTTTTCTGCCCCTTATCTAGTTTGCGTACCGCTCTCATGTGCGGCCCTGTGTGGTGTATGGAGGCGCTGATATCGGTCAGCAGATTCGTGATCTGGAGAGAGGCTGCCATCTGCTGGTGGCCACTCCTGGGCGTCTGGTGGACATGATGGAGAGGGGCAAGATCGGCCTGGACTACTGCAAGTACGTCAAAGATCTGCTGCACTTTTTGCCTGTGTGGAATGTGGTTTTGTTTGCTGCCGTTGCCTTACAATTTGTGATTTGCATTCCCATTTCGTTGTAATTCAAACCTTTGGAATTCACTTCCTTTTGGTTACTTTTAATGGTCCTTTGGGTACCCCGTGGAAGAATGCACTAGCTTCTCATATTTTCACTGTTTTGTGGTTTGACAATGAGCTGTGTGTTTCTGTCATTAGTTATCTGGTGCTGGATGAAGCAGATCGGATGTTGGACATGGGCTTCGAGCCACAGATTCGTCGTATCGTCGAGCAGGACACCATGCCGCCCAAAGGGCTTCGTCAGACCATGATGTTCAGTGCCACCTTCCCCAAGGAGATCCAGGTGAGTGTTGCAGGCTAATCTTTTTAAAACCCCTCGTGATGTTACAACCTCAGGACGGCTCTGGCATGTACTGTTCGTTAGACTTGTCTGAAGAGCTTTTGGGTTTCTTAGATCTTGGCTCGTGACTTCCTGGAGGAATATATCTTCTTGGCTGTGGGCAGGGTTGGTTCCACCTCTGAGAATATCACCCAGAAGGTGGTGTGGGTTGAAGAAAATGACAAGAGGTCCTTCCTGCTCGACTTGCTCAATGCCACAGGTAAGTTTGTAAATGGCCTCCCGAACACTCAACCTTCATCTGATTTTTGTCTGTGGTCATTTCAGTATGATCTCTTCACAGAGGATGTCATGTTTGAGATTAAATTAGCTTGTTTTGTGAGTGGATTAAACTAGTTTTTAGGTTGAAGTCACTCTTTGAGGTTGAGGACAATGGGACCACTCTACACACCAGAAATGACATTGAAAATTGTGAATTGCATGCATGCTCCGCCAGCACCTGAATGCAGAGCTTCGTCTTAACCCATGTAAACCATATCAAAACTGATATTTGTTGAAGCTCATCATAAGGTCTGGTTTTATTCAGT